GTTAGTCAGGGTTCGGGTAAGTCTCGGATCGGGTTAATCTGGAATCAAGCAAGTCTTGTTCACCTTAGTCTTGGTTTGATTTTGTCTTGGTTGGAGTACTTATTGGTTCAAGTTTGTCTGGGATCGAGTGTAAGGCTTGGTTCGGGTTAGTCTCGTATCAGGCTAATCTGGAATCAAGCAAGTCTTGTTCACCTTAGTCTGGGTTTGATTTTGTCTTGGTTGGAGTACTTATTGGTTCAAGTTTGTCTGGGATCGAGTAAATCTTGGTTCGAAATAGTCTGGGTTCCGGTTCATCTCGGATCTGGTTAGTCTGGTATCGAGTTAGCCAGGGATCTAGTTAATCCTGGTTCAACTTCAAGTTACGTAGTCTTGGTTTAAGATCACTGCTTTGGTTCGTATATGTTAGTGTAGCAGCCATAAAATTTCCGATTCCCGTGATGGGATTCGAACCACGGACCTTCCGATCAGAGGTCGGACGCCCTGTCCATATGACCAAAGAGGTTAACCCCGTCAGCAAGCTGACAAGGTAAAGGTGGCATCTGTGTGATAACTCCACGTCCTGCTATACATTAAACATGGGAAACGACATTTCGATTTGGGTGTGCGTTATTTTTAGACGTCTTCATTCACGTTCAGAATCACAACCAAATCACGCCAAAAACCAATGATTGTGGGTTCGAATCCCGATTCGCCACGATTATGTTTCTAGGTTTCTAGGTTTGTCAGCACAATACCCGTGCTCGTGGGTTTCACGGAAGTGGTAAACGTCCGAGACCTGCATCACTTCGGGCTTTCCTCCCACATTAAGCTGATACGCCGCGATATAACTGTAATACTGTTAAAAGCGGCGTTAAATCCAACTCACTCACTCACTCACAACCAAATATCCGAAAATATGTAATATGGTCCCTTGAGACATTCAACACTCTTGACACACGTGACCTTCACCGAAATAATCTATACACTGGGAGTGAGTATATCTGTTTAAATTGGGTCAGCATTCAGGTCATGCGTACGAACCTTACAAACACGTGGAAAGGAAAACTCCGACCTATCAGCCTATATACATCGGCAGAGCGCGTCATGCACCTGGAGCCATGCGAATGTACGGTCAAACAAAGTAATATTACAGCATAATCAAAATAATATATATATAAAATGAAATTACTTTTCTTCACGTGGTATATGCATGTACTCGAGGAAGGATATAGTTTTTTAATCTATGAATACACATACAGAGAATATATGATTACTTCACTGTTAACGTTGATATATATGAGACCACATTAGCGAGTGAGTGAGTGAGTGAGTGAGTGAGTGGGTGGGTGAGTGAGTGAGTGAGTGAGTGAGTGAGTGAGTGAGTGTGGATGTCAGTAGTCGTAACACCACCCACATCACGGATTGGTTCACCAAGAACGGCCTCATACATTATACCCATGTGGAGAATCGAACCCAGGTCTTCGGAGTGACGAAGGGACGCTTTATCCACCAGACTAACGTTTTAAATACCCGTAATCCTAGCGAGCATATAGCCTTCGCTTCACGAGAGCCTCTTATAGCACTACTAAAAGGGTAACGCTATTTTTCAGGGCATTATCATTTGCAGAAGCCCGAGGTCTTCCATTAACTGCCCGACGAAGGAGGGCAGTTGGAAAGACCGAGGGCTTCTGCAAATGATAAAGACCTGAAAAATAGTGTTACCGTTATTATAGCTAAAATGGATGGAATTTGTTATCAAATGAAAAGAAACAACAATATCGTTTTTGAAACATTTACTGCGATCAACACGAATGTCACTGACCCACTTTTACAAATATGGAAACGTCATAGAACAAACCAGATGACGTCACTATTGAACGTGACCTAACAACGGGCGTGATAATGGCCCGTCTTCAAGTAATATGAGGGCATTATCAAGTTACAGTGGCCCGCTCATTTCTGATAACATACGGGCGTTTTAATGATAATTCTATCCGTTTTAGCTATAATACCTCCAAAACCATTTGTTTCCTGTTTAACGCCGCGCTCAGCAATATTCCAGCTGTATGACGGCGGTCTGTAAATAATCGAGTCTGGACCAGACAATCCAGTGATTGACATCATGAGCATCAATCCACGCAATTGGCATACGATGACATGCATCAAGCAAGTCAGAGAGTCTGACCACCCGATCCCGTTAGATATATACTGAAAGTTATAAAAACTTAAAAGATTAAAAAAAATGACACTTCCATTTAAGTTAAACACATGAGCGTTTACGCATAGAGTACGATGAAGCTATGCAGTGATTGTATTTCCAGAGCATCATCCTTAAATTTTGATGATGTTGGAGATTTTACGAACGCTGAATCCAGGTTAGACTATTAGGTCCATATGCACCTGTTCTAACCGGGACGTCAGCTTTGGTTCGGTGACTTGGTCGATCACATGTCATCGTACCCCGACATGACATCACTCACTCACTCACTCACTCACTCAGTGTCAGGGGGCATTTGGTTGTTTAAAAAAATGAACTGATAATTGTTCAAATAGTTTTAAGTACTTACTTTTGATCGGTCGAGTGAGTTGCATATCATATCTGTGATATGTGTCTGTCGTTTTACTGTTTACTGTTTTACCTTTACGGATTCCTATAAAAATAATTTAAAAATATAGTTAATTGTAAAAAAGTTACAAAAACCTACATGCATGGTCTTCAATATACTTAGGTGCTCCTTTCTCGGGTGCTACGCGGATTAGAATGTCCCCAGTAACCTAAATTGAGGGGCAAAAGAAAGTACACAGATTTTACACATGTAGAAGATGACGGATGACAAAGTAGACACAATTTATGGATAACAACTTTTTTAATACTGTAAAGGCTGCGTTTCTGTATAGATCCTTATTGCTTGGCAACGGTATCAGGATTTATACCGAAACGTCGCCTTTACAGTATTAAAGAAGTTGCTATCCATAAATTGTGTCTACTTTGTAATCACTCATTCCTTCAACAATTTGTTAAAAGTAATCTGTGACTGGATATTTTTTTGCAAAAATAAATAGGTTCAATGAAAACTGGGGTGAGACATAAATTTGCAACCACATGACCTCTAACCTGTATGAATTGTAAATTTGTGATGAAAAAAAACAACTTATCGATTTTTAAAGATTTTCAGCTGTAGTGTTATATGCGAAAATAAAAGTTTTAAAAATTAAAAACACCATGCAGAAGTATTCTTTGAGTGCCGACCAAGCACCAGGACAGTTCATCTTTTGGATATAATATCACTAACTTACAATATTTTCAATTGAAAATCAAACACATGACAAAATCAACTGAGAGGGATAGTTTCTTTTTCACCTCAGTCTATGTGTTTGTCGTGAGAGGCGACTGCAAGACTGGATCGGGTGGTCCGGCTCTGTGACGTGGTTGACAGGGTGTCATCGTATCCAGACTGTGGGACGTTGCTCATGATATCAATCACTTGCAATATTTGTCTGATTCAGACTCGATTATTTACAGGCACTCGAGTCTCTTATAGCTGAAATATTGCCGAATACTGCGTTAAACAACAAACAAGCACAATTCACAAATGTCCTCGAACAGTTAAAAAAAGCACATAAAAATTACCTTCCAAAATATAGCTTTATTGTATGTATGTATGTATATATATATATATATATATATATATATATATATATATATATATACAAAAATGAGGTAAATGTTCACTCGGTGTACATATATATATATATATAGTATAGTGTATATATATATATAGAGAGAGAGAGAGAGAGAGAGAGAGAGAGAGAGAGAGAGAGAGACTAACACGTACATTCATGCAAGCAACTTGGGTCCAGCACTATTTATTTATTATTACCATGATGCACGGTAATTATACTCTGTGACCCAGTTATTACATTCATTCCGTGTGTTAATAGGAAAATGCGAACTAGACCAATCCTTGTGGAGTTTATATTTCATTCATTATTATTTAAATGTTATGGAGATAAATTCAACGGAACACAATGCAGTATCAGAAATTTGCATTTGCGTATGCGTCTGAGGCAGTGGGGAGATTAGCGATTGTTGTCACATCCCACTGTGTGGAATATTGCATAGTCAGCGTAAAAGTTCAAAGGTGATGTAATTATCTCGGCGATAAAGCGGCCCTTAATCCTAATGTAAATTCATGGCCTCTGCTCAAATCTCCTTTACCGAATGTTATACAAAACGTGAAAATTCATTAACGCGTCATATGTGACAATGGGTGTCAGAAAGACAAAATAAGTCCTGCGCCATGAATGGATAAGTACGAAATATAATTACGATTTATACTAACAGCTTAGGCAAGTCTAGATCAAACTAAACCAAGTCTAGTTTCCTTGATTCCACGTGAAAACCGCAGAAGAGGAAGGGTTCCTTTGAAAAACAATAACATATTTTTAAGAATGTTTTCATAGACTAAGTGTTGATCTACGACATACTGTCAAAATGTAATTGTGAAGGCAAACAAGCTATAGCAATTAAATGTATGCATTTCGCTTGAAAGAGCAAGTGAACGAAGAAAGTAAAAAAACAATCACACCTATTTCATTACATGCATAACATGCTGATTACTAAAAGCGACAATTTCGTTACATTTGAAAAAAAGTCGAAATCATATCATTGTCGCTAAACAATAAGGCACAGGATGACCTAAATAGTATGTATCCAATTCAAATTTGCAAATAGTTTGTAGCTAGACTTCTTTTTCACACAATGACATTCTAATGTACACGAAAATATGTTTTAATTCTTAAACAAATTACACATTTTTATGAAAGCTATTTCTGATCAATCCGAGTGTTATATATTCAAACCTGTCGCTTGTCGGCATTCAGGTCAGTTAGTTAAAATCCAACAAAATCTGAATTACAATATTATATGGGTTCACGGCTTAGGTTGATCGTCCTTTATAAGTGTACTGCCCCAGCTGATATGCCATGGGAAGCGCAAGATTGTTATTGACCAATGAACATCAGAGGTAAAAGGTTACCCTACGACCTTGAACCCGTTTCACGTATTCACATTACGGAAACATCTTGCAAGACAGTGCACGAAAAACCGGCGTCCAACATGGGTAAAATAAGCGGTAAGTATACTTAAACATTTAGATTTTGTTGCGTTTTCAGATTAATATATACTCAGAGATGCCGTATACCCAATTTTGTCGTCTTTTTAGGTGGTGCGGTCGTCGAAATGATGGGAGACGAAATGACAAGGTAAGCTCAATATAGTGAACGCGGTGAATCATTACCTGTCAAATTCGTCATAGTGTTTTGTGTTCATGATAGTGCGTCGGTGTAGTAAAGTTAGTATCCACTGATATGCGTAGCAACAGATCTAGTTAAAATGCTTGTAGAAATTGCTAGCCTAATTGGATCGCACGGCCTCTTATATGAGACTACTAATAGGCCTACTGGTAAATTTCACCTATTTTCTGCAGCTACGAATTCCAGTGATCAAATCAGTATAGTTTTCAAATTATTGCTAATTATTTCAACTGTAGGCAAGAGACTTTCCAGACAATGGAGAAGACATACTGTTGAGCTGCCAATAGTAAAAGTAGCCATTTAGGGCCAAGTAGGCCCTACTAGTTTCTTGGTTTATTTTACACTGCACTCAGTAATGTTCCAGCCATATGACGGTGGTCTGTCTGTCACTGTGATACGATGACATGCATCAACCAATAGGGCTCCGACGAGTCCAAATTTACAACCAGGGTACACACACCCCTATTACCCGACCCTGCCCAGGTACCCGCTGTTGGTGTCAAGAGATAGGTACAAAATGTCCGATTTGGAATAGTTTGACAGTAGCCCTGGCTGAATGTATCTAGATACAAGTATAAGACGATGTGGTCATGCATACACTGAAGTTGACAGAAGTTTTAGCTTTGTTCAAACATATATAAGTCAGAAGGAACGTGTTCATAGTCATAAAGAATTGTGAACATTAGAGACTTAAAATTGTCATGTAACCATGTAGTTATATAGTGAATTTTTGTCATGAAACAATATATATCACGTGACTAACCACGGGTCCGGGTAGTCCTGTGGGTACCCGGGTCCTACTCAGTACCCACCCGACCCGAGTACCCGAGTTACCCATCCCAGCTCTATCAACCAAGTCAGCAAGCCTGACCATCTGATCATGTTAGTCGCCTCATAAGACAAGCATGGGTTGCTAAAGGCTTTTTCTAACCCAGATTTTCACAGGTGATAGGTTTGCTCTGGATGACCATTTTTCTGGTGATATATATTTGTCTTATTTTCAGTCGTATTGTAACTTATTAATCATGCAAGACCAATTTGTGTCGTTTTATGGACAAATATAGACATGATAGTTGAGATGCTTAACAGTAGGTGCAAATAATCCTCCTTTAGAGAGATAGTGGGCCTACCTTCAGAATAATTTGTAGTATTTTGTTGCCAGTCACATCAGTGAAACAATGCTCTGTGACGTCAGGGGTCATCGAGTGTGCATAAGCTCCTCCTAGTGATCTATCATCTCTACACGCAATATCATTGAATAAGCCCAGCAATGTTGCAAGTTTTGAATTTTTGTTAACTAAATATAGCCTGCCGTGGTGCATTTTATAGCAAGTGCTAGTTTATGAAAGCACTTTTATTTTAAAATACTTTTTATTTTTATTTTTTAATTCAAGTGGCCAAAATGATAATAAATGGGAACTAATATACATATATTATTTTTACGATTCATTAATTTTCATTATTATGCACAGGAAAGCAGTTTATTAGGTATATTATATTGGCACTGAACACCTCCAAATGGCACCATTGGTAGGGTAGGTTATCCCAAACACTAGCTTTAGCCCTTTAATCCCCATCAGTAGACCCGTGAAGATTCCGGGGTAGAATAGGTCTTCAGCAACCCATGCTTGCCATAAAAGGCGACTATGCTTGTTGTAAAAGGCAAATAACAGGATGGGGTGGTCAGGCTCGCTGACTTGCTTGATGCATGTCATCGATCCCAATTGCGTGGATCGATGATCATGATATCAATCACTGGATTGTCTGGTCCAGACTCGATTATTTACAGACCGCCGTCATATAGCTGGAATATTGCTGAGTGCGGCGTTAAACAACAAACCAACCAACCAACCATTACGATCAATCACCCCTTTACTATCATTAGGGTCAGGTACCCGTTAATGGCTAATAGATTACCCGAACTCTATCTTTAGCCCTAGGATCCCTTTTCTGATCTATCAACCATAGCTTTAGGATCATTTAGGTTAGGAACTCTTTTAGTGGCTATTTTAGATTCTATAGCAGCTCCTAATAATCTTCACAGAAAAACATCTACATTTATTCAGTAATGACTCAGTACTCACCCTTGTGTCGTCACTAGCTATGCTTATGCCTCCCTCATTCCTTACTATTATCCACATTATCCTTACAGTGTTCCCTACCAAACTTTTCTGTTACAAAAATCACTTGATGAATTATTAAATACCGTGTCATTCATGTGTACCCGCGTGTTCAATGATATATAACTGAAATACTGTTCAAAGCAGCATTAAGCAAAAATTCAGCCATGAATTTGGAAAATACTCGATTTTGATTGGTCAATCAGAGGTATCAAACCACAATAAACCTCCTCTGATTGAAACAGATGGGTTTACAGCCCCTTTCCTGTATAAGGATATGCATCTGCACTTTGTGCTTGCCCATCAACAGGGCGGAACTCACGAATTGTGCATCAATGGGAACTTTTGTAATAGGGCCGTTCTGATGATGTCTATCTGGATCCTGCAAATGAATGGAGTGACGAAGAATTTGACTTGATACTATCCAATCTTGACAATTTTTGTAATGGTAATAACACAAACATCTCCAGAAATGTGTTTTGAAAAAATCAGCTGAACAAACACATAAAGAACATTTGTCGTCTGCTCGGCTTAGCCGGGAGCTCTCCGTCGAGTGCACTACGACTGTAGGGTGGATGGGTATAGTCAAACTCTGTTTGAAGTTCTCAGTGAAATTTCTCCATGAGATAGTATTTGAAATTTAAACATAAGATGTAATAATTTGAGTAAATAGAAACATTGTTATACATGTTTGTTTTCGGTTATTTTACGTTGCCATTATATGGAGCCTTCCATCCCTATGGGAAAGTGAACTCATCTTTTCATGTATATTGAGTGTCCTGCTCACTCAACCAAACGTCACCTGACTGGTCATGTTAACTGGTCACACTAACTTGTCATGGTAGAATGGCGATAAACCTACTGCGTTTTCAATGTAGAGCTAGGCTATGCGTTTGGTTTCAAATTCAATTTAGCATGGTTAAATCTACAGGTAACCAAACTCTACATTAAAAACACAGTGGGTTTATCTCCTAACTCACTCAATTCTCTGCAATACATAGAATACCATAATGTTTACTAAACTCAGGCATTACATCTAGTTACAAATATCATGAATTTAAAAGGAATTAACACTAAACAGTCCATGTTTTTAGCCACAAGGCCTAGTCCAACCATAGTCTAGTAAATCTGTTTGGTCTAGTCTAGTAAGCTAAACTAATAATAGTCTACTGAATCTACTGAAAATGATCCTTGGAACCAAATTTGGGCTTTCTAGATTCAAAAGTGTTTGTCAAAGACTAAATAAGGGCAGATCCTCTAATATATTCCTGATAAAATTAAATTAAGTTCAATGAGGGCATGGACTCTAAATAGATGGAATACTCGTTTAATCAGAGGAATGTTAGCATGGTTTGAGATGAAGTATTTAGAATTCACTGGAGGAATTCAGTACAAAGTGTCAAATTAACTCTGAAATTTGTTTCAATATCATTTCAGTAACACTGTTTCTACCACTGCCCTCAAGGGGGCACGGGTGGCCCAGTCATCTAAGGCGCCGCAATTCGCTGTGCAGAGTTGCATCCCTTGGGCACGCCAGAAACCTATGATTGAGGGTTTGAATCCCGGTTCGCCCCGATTATGTTTCTAGGTTTGTCAGCACCATACCCGTGCTCGTGGGTTTCACCAAAGTGGTAAATGTCTGAGACCTGCATCACTTCGGGCTTTCCTCCCACATTAAGCTGACACACCGTGATATAACTGGAATTAAACCCATCTCACTCACTCACCACTATTGCCCTCTTGTCATTACATTTGTAACAGTTGTTGATGATGAACTGACTGTCAAAGTATGAAGTATATATACAAAAAGCGCAGCTGGTTTGATAGGCCATATCCTGGCAGCCACAAGAAAACAGCTTTCTAGCCCCATGATGTGTGTGCCCATTTACTGTCATATAATCAATGAGACATATGTTACCTGGCAGTATTAATGTTAATATAATATGAGTCTGGTGGATTTCAAATAACTTTTCACTATTACTGTATTCAATGTAATAAGCGCCCCGATTGATCAATGTACACAAGATTGATTTATTCGTGTATAATCAAACTTGTGTGTTATATGCACCCTTAATTATAGGCTATTAAAATCTCGAAAATATATCTATCGTGTATAATACGCACATATTCTTCTTTTATATCGTTTCAGGCTCTCAGCTTAAACCACACAATTTACAATCTTGAAACTTTAAACTCTGTATTTTATCTCACCCAAATTATATTCTAATAAGAGCCCCCTATTTCTATTTTTGAGAGCACCCTGGGCGCATATTACGTCAAATACGGTATACACCTGAAATTTTGTTCTATAAGGTGATGTTAAACCAACTTTCCACTCGCTATCAGCAAATATAATTTCAATAAAAATGAAGCAACAGATTTTAATTTAATTTACAAATTTTATTTGCAGTCTGTGCCCAAGTTTGTAATACTGCTGGACTAGACTGACATTTAGTCCCAGAAATAAAGTTTTCATATTCAAATATATATACATATATCATGTATATGTGTATATCTAAAAAATAAAAAATAGGAGCCCAGAACAATCCTTTATTTCAGGAGGCAATCTAGACTTGCCAAATCATTCAGACTTGAGCACCAGACTTGAGATGTCCCCCCTCAATGCTTATTGTGTTGAATACAGTATTAAATATGGTTAATGCAAATGCAAAACTTGAAACTTGATATATGTGACAGTATATATATATCCAATGTCAACATTTACAAAGAAGACAAATGGAAGTTGCAAACCTAACCAAGCAGAAACAGTGGTGGTTTTAGCAGCAAGCTTTATCAGTATGTTGTATGGTGAATTATAGACAGGAGCGG